TTGTTTGGATAGTATTCATTTTAACACATAATTTTCTATTTATGTATTGTATTTTGCATGTTTAGAGGTATATGAACCAATATTTACACGTGGTATTTGCACATATAAAAACTAGATATTACAGCTGTCTGGGGCTTTAGAATTAAAGCCCAAAGCTGGATCCCATAAGCTTTTAAAAGAATGCTTGAACAAACATAAGTTTTTAACGCATTAAAATGAATATTTTATTACGAAATAAAGAGGCGCTAATATATGTATATTATTTTCTAAGGCTCAGAGAATACTTATGTTGAGTGTTTTTTGTTTTAGGAACAGGGAAAGAGTTGCAGTTTTTTTCTTATTCGTGCACGTGACTTTGTGCACGTGAGGTCGTGTCAAAATTTTAATGGAACATTCCGTTTGAGCAATGCACATGGTCATTTCTTTCCGTTTCTATTCATTTTACTTTAATTATTAAAGTGAAAAGTAACACAAAAGAGTATTTTAATCTTTATATTAATTAAAAATGAAATTGTAAAAATATATTAATAAAACTGCGGTGAAATGAAGTATACATGTAATAGCCGCATGCTATAAAGAAGGAAGATTCTTTCACAAACTTATCTAAGAGGTACCAATAGTTTCTTCAAAACCACAAATTGCAACATCTTTTATTGAATTTTTTAAAAATGGATTCAATTTCGTTAAAAATAAAAGGTTTGCTTATAGCTGTGGGATTACAAGTAACTATCACTTGGATTGGTTCAATACCAACATATAACTGTAGAAAATGTATTTATGCACATTTAAAAGCTGTTTTACGTCAAATATGTTGTCAAAAAGTAAAACTTGGATTGCTCATCTCTAAGTGATACCCCTACATTTGACATTCTCATTCAGTTAGATATTTTAATGATAAAGGAATGGCCTAAAATGTGCCTTTAACATTTTTTTATTTCCGTCCGGAACACTTGTATTATATAAACTCAAGCCATCATTGATAAAAGAAATAAATTCAATTTGACAATACATTACTATTAATAAAGATTATTTGATTTTCATCGTAAAATGTAACTTCATGGAAAAAGAATTGAAAAGGTTAGGTCTTCATTTACATTCTTAGTTTTACTACCTTTTTGAAAAAAAAACCTGATTTTTGTTTATTTAAATGCCGACTGGAAAAACGAAATAATTCTGTTTTTTTTTAAATTCACTTTTATATTGACAAATAAACCCTTGTTCACATTGTCTGTGCGTCATTCTGTTTTGTTTTTTTTTGTTTTATTGACCGTTCTTTACCTTTACTCAATATCAATTTCTTCATCTCGAACATTGATGAAAAGTGTATATGCTTAATATGTAACCGATCTGTAGCTGCAAAAATAGCAGCAAAGGCGAGTATACTTACACATTCAGTATGTCTGAAGTAAATCTTTATTAGAAAAAAAGTTTAGTAATCGGATTTCATTTGATATGTGTATAGTCAAGAAAATAATAGAAATGCAACCATTTTTTGTTTTATAAACTGCTATTATTAGAAGGAGGCATAGACTGGTCACTAAGGCTTGTCATATGCAGTAATAAACAAGTATTGCGGGTATTCTATTACTCGAGATCTTTGATAACATTGTCTGTGTCATATTTGAAGTATTGTTTGTTTTCCTTTTTAAAAATTTCCCTAGGAAAATCTCAAAATATTCTACATCAATCATACATGTACATGTTAAGACAATCTTTGTTGTACAGAAAACGTTATGTTGTAATGTATTTGTACATTTATTTTTGTTAAAGGTGATATTGGATCGCGTATTTGAATATTTGAATATTTTTTTGAATTCTGCATTAAAACGAATGTCACTATAATAAATCACTTACTCACATCACAGATACCCAATTTAAAGGGCGTAACGTAACATGATGATGCTACAAAATATTCAGCCCAACAATGGCAACAATACCCCAACCCCAGAACTGTTCGCCATGGCTCGTTAGGGCATTAGGCCCCATGATTAGATATCAAGACACCTAATACATTTAAGACATATGTCAGGCACCATAATTAAGTCACTAATTAGGCTTCAAGTTTAGGACATTAATCAGGTTCCATTGTAAGAGCCTTTCATACGGGTTTTATCAATAAATTCATGAACAACAGACTTGCTTTTTTAATATGAAAATTATGTTAAGTTCGCCAACCTTCAAGATAATGACGATAGCTTAAAAGATTATTTTTTCTTTCCATTAATTTAATTTTTAAATATACTTTTAAAGCACATACCACATACCGTTTATTTGTTTAAATATCAAAACAAGTTCTAATATTTTCTAAACAACGAAATTCCATTAAGAAAATTCTGTTGTTTACAAATATGAATCAAACGCCATTGACAGAAATGTTACAATTACATGAATACCCAGTTCTTTATATGACAAGAGGCTAGGATAAATAAATAAAGAAAACAAAGACCAGAGCATGCAAAGGTTATTGTACCATTTTAAGAGTCTGTCAATGTAACCTATTATTTTGATATTTAATACATGTTTGTTTGACTTGTTTATTATCAGTTAATTGAAACGTGTATTGTACGTAGAAATGTATAATGGATAAATAATCGTTAGCAGTACATACGGTAAAGGATAAATTTGTTTGTTTGGAAAAATCATTAACAGCAAGTGGCCGATCCTATTGGAAAGGCTTATATGTGAACTATTAGGAATGAACTTTTACCAAACAAATCTATGAAAGTTTCATTTATTAAAAAAATCATTTTGGACCGTCCGATCCCATATTTACCAGACAAGTCTATTAAAAATTAAATTTATAAAAGAAATATTCCCCACGAGAACTGACCAACCGATAGCTAGTGTTTCTATATATTAAAAATTTGACGAATCTCTAAATCTAAACAAAAGTGGAAAAATGATATCAGATATCGAAATATGAGAATGATGGACTATGAAATCATTTTTTTGGTAAGTTTTTGTGCAAAATGAAAATTCTCAGGAGCTGGGGTGGGGGAGGGGGAGGGGGTACAGCATGCATTCGTCAGATGCTTGTACATATATAATGACATGGATTGTTGGCACAAACATTGGATCCTAAAAACTCGTTCATCTTCCAAAAGTTAAAAATGATGCATGTGCATAGCTTTTCACACAGAAAAGGGTCATATTTGAGGAAAAATATCCGGTTTTATCTTTGACTATATTTGTATAAAACACTGTAAATATTGTATTTACCTCCAACTAGTGAATTCAACATTTATTCGATATTGGCACAATATATATAACATCAAAAGGAAATCAGTTCATATTTTAGTAAGACATTGTCGATGAGATATGAAGAAAAGCCTGACAATTTATATTTTTCTTCAAAACAAAAGGCATTATTGTATCTTTTGAACAGTCCATGTTCTAACAATTCAGCATATATCACCATTCCTTATAAATCCGACCACTGCCTTGTGTTATTTTATAATGAAAGAAACCGTATAAAATACAGAATACTTAATTGGAAATAAAATTCTTTCGTTGAGTCAATTATCAATATCTTTTTATGTGTATTTATTTTGTTCAAATTGTAACATAAATTGATAGAAAAATACACCTTAGACAAATAATGAGTATACAATTCAACTGCAAATTCTCCTTATTCCATCAATAGTCTTTCATCATTGAGTATGCATGGAACAATTTTCATGAGATAGTTATTATCTAATGTATTATCCTTTAGACGAGCATAAAACTTCGTCCAAATAAATGATATAGAGTTTCTTAAGAATGAGATGAGAGAGAGAGAGAGAGAAAATGAGAATGTATCCAAAGCTAGACTGCATTTCATTATTGCCTTTCATTCCATTTGAACACACCATTTTACTATCTATTAATTAAAATTGGACTTCTTAGATCCGCGCCGTAAAATTCTTTTTTGCCACACGTACTTTAAACAATTATTTTTTTAAATAGTGCAAACTTATAGCTAAACACGAGTTGAAAACTAGTACATTTGTATACGTGTACATATTTAGATATACATGCAAATCTTGGTACATGTTCAATCATAAAAAAAAACTTGAAAAGAAAATAATTCATATGCATGAAATGACCATAGATTGTCACATTTTATCACCTTTTGCAGCAAAGTTCTGAGAACGATATAACAGCGGTGTTCCAGAAGGATTAGGATAAGAGTACACTATCGGTTACACTTTATTTGGCTGTAATTTAACTTCTATATCTAAGAGTCTTCTTAAAGTACTGTTTACAAGTTCTCGGGTACATAGGGTCAGACGCACTCCACGGGAAAACCATCAAAGTTCAAAAAGGGGTCATTATTAGGATATTCTGCAGGGGGTGATCAAAGTTAAACAAGGAATACCATTATTCATGCATGAAAATAATTCGATTAATTGGCTTTATTTCAACCAATATTTTCAACTGTATTTTCAAATTGCTGATGCAATTCGACGATAATTTTCCATTTTTACAAGTAGTATACTATAGAACTGCAACTTAAAGATAAAAAAATGTTTTAAGTAAATTTTACTATAACTTTGTATTTTCTTGCATTCATGGTAATTTATTAGTGAAGACATTTTGTTATGTACAATTTAAGTAATATCCCCAAATGAAATGTTTGCATTCTTCAGGACACATTCGTATCACTCAGTGGGTTTTGGATATTTTATTGCTTTACATATTGGCTGTTATTAACAATACAATATTACAACATCATTACATATTATGGATGCTTTGGTTAATATAGTGGGGAAAAAACACCCATTAAAATTAATGCAGTCTACACAGATTTGTTATATAGATACATGTACATATGTTAATTTGTGCAAATTTTAAGTACACGTATATGCATTTATAATAACATATTTTTAAATTGAATATATTTGAAAAATCTTTATCACTGATTGCATGAAAAAAAGAATGAGGAAGTTCCGGTGTATTTTCTACAATTCGTGATTATCAGGGGAAAACCTTGAAACTATTTCTGGAATTTAACTAATAAACGTGCATGTTTCGATATCAATTCTAGCTACATAAATCGAAAGTAAATACAAGAATCAAGATGCGTCTCCAAGTTTGGTGGAAAAGGGAGAAATCGTCTATCCAAGAAGAAAATATTTCTGACGATGATTGTGAAAAATTGATGTCGGAGACAGACAAAGAAAAAACTGAAAAGAAACAATTTTGTCAATTTGCAGTTGTGATAGTGTTTTTATGTTTTTCACTTTGTGTGTCTTTTCTCGAAGTGAGACTTATTTTTTCTGTCTTGCGAAAAATTCAACAACTGGGGCCAGCGGATGATTTTCCTACTTCTTCTTGTTATGGACAATCAATGTATCCCTCTGTGGATTCAAATAAAATGCTTGTGTCACTGGTGAGAATGAGATATATTTTGAACCTACTTTCGTTTTGAACGAGAGAGGATCGCTTTATTTTTTTAAAGACAATATACTCTATCAATATTGATTATTTAAGGGCTTTTATTTATTCAAACAAAATAAATTCACAGAATCTAAATTTTCAGAAATGATCATTTTTGGAAAAAATATAAATTATAAAAAAATATATATTTCCGAAAAATTACACTGAAAGATAATTTATGTCAAATGATATGAATCATAAAAATGATCGGAATGCTATTTGAGAGATTTCCGTCCAGGTCTTTCATTCTTACGGGCTTTCAGAGAACAAAGAGAAAGATGTTTCCTTATAAATTATTTCAAAAGGGTCAAAAATATTTCCTCTCGACGCAAAGCAATTGTAATGTGTACGGTAGTCAAAAGATGGACGAAGTCCAACAGCTTATATTAAATAGGGGGATTTCCCAGTTTTACTGACGCATGTTTGTATTTAGGAAGTAGGAAAAAATTAAATGTTGATTCACGTACTTTCTGAAAGATATATCTGGATTAAATCATAATTTTAGAGCCGAAAATGGAAAAGAGCTATAGACCTGCATAATAATTTTGAGTGTGGAAAAAAAAAGTTATAACTATGCGTAATCGATTTATGAACAAGCTATGAATTATAAATATTTATACCTTTTTGGTTAAATTTATGTGCTAGTGAACAGCAGCGTGTATGGCAGAAATATGTTACTCATCCATTTTTTTTTTTTTGCTACAATATACATGTAATGCGTCAAAGCATCGTCTTCATTTTTATATTTGGGTCAATTAAGTTCTGTAATATCAAAAAAAAAAAAAAAAAAAAAAAAGTGGAATGTCGCTTTTTAATTTTTTGAAAGCCGTAAAAGGAATTTTACCTGTGAATTGATAATTAAAGAAAATAATTAATAAAAAACTTTAATTACTGAATTTAAATAGGAGTGTCTGTGAGGTTCCTTTGCTAAATTACTATATAATATACTGAGTATGTATTTAAAATTTTCAATGAAGCAGTTTAATATATACATGAAGCTCTAGTCCAAAAAAGTCCTGATTTTAAAAATGATATGTTTTTGTTTAGATGTATAATGAGCTGTTCCATCAGCGACATAAGACAAACACATCTCCCGAGGCCGCCATCCAGAGATACCTGAAAGCGGGAACTAAAACAGGTATGGTCAGATTTGGCAGCTGTGTTTACTGTTCAATCAAAATCAAGCAAACAGTACAGCCTCGTGTAAGAAACAAGTACAGACGCAATGCGGCATGTCCGAAATATTGCATATTACAGAAATGTTGAACCTTCCCATATAGCCCCCCCCCCCCCCCTTAAGACTTTCATCAGACCAAACAGCTTCCGACTGGCATCTTTTGGCTGTCAGTTATAAGCAATATTGGAATATGCTATCGATATTTATAGTAAGCCTGAATAAAATGAATAATACGAGTATTTAGAAAATGGGAAAAAACTTAATAAAAGTCAAAGAAATGTTATTGTTCATGTAGTGAATACTAGTGATGTACATGTTTTATGAGTATTCTTGAAGTCACTAAAATTGTTGTTTCTTTTCAGATAACAAATATCCTAGCGTATTTATAGCAAATGACAACTCAAACGATGCCTCCTTGGGCAACTTCGTAGTGAAACAAGACTCCATAGAAATTCCTCAGAAAGGCATGTACGAAGTAACGACTATTGCAACAGTCAAAATCACCAAAAACGTCACGAAAACAACGCATGCGCTCTACAAACATAGAGGAGGAGTCCTGTCATCCTTGATGTGGAGGTCCTACTCCGCACGCGCGGAAGTCATGGCTTTCCATCAAAGTGTGTTACGGGACACTTTTCTTCTGGACAAGGGAGACAAATTAAGCGTTTTTGTGTCGGGAATATCAAATATTTATGAAAAGACAACACCAATATCAATACGATATGTTGGACAAAAAGATTAAAAGAAGCTGCATTAAAAGTTCCATTTTATTTTTTGTGATTCTTCTAAACAAGTTTTCTATTATTAACATTAACAGTGTGATTTTTTTCAAATACTAGTAGGTAATTTAGACAGAATAAAAGAATTATCAGTTTATGCATTCCTTTGTTTTTGACAATTGGGATAAGCATCTTAAAGTGAAGTTTTCTTGGCCAAACACGTCTATGCTTGCCAGCTAGTGAAGACAGGCCTTATACTATGGTATTTGTATACTCTATACTAGACCAAAATATTTTACGTTTTCCAGGCCTTTTTACATAAAATATCAAAAATTATAGTAAAATAACTTGGAAAACTTTGGCTGTATGGCTGCACAGCAAGAATAAATCTACATATACAAAACTGACTGAACACAATTGTGTTTGTACTATTGGAATAATATGTACAAAGAGTCTTTATGCCAAATACCGTACTTCCTTCAAAGATTATTTCTTGTTCATCAGTTAATGCCCCCTTAAAACTGACACAGATTTAAATTTTTCACTTTCCAGGATTAATATTATATTAACTTTTTAACAATTAATACTAGTAGTATTGTTTAGAACTTGTAACTAGAACTGTCCAAACGGGACAAAATACCTCCCACTGGTTTTTTTCAGAAGGAAATTTTTCCATAATAAAGATATGTATCACACATGAATTATGAAATTTTTCTTCCAGTGACCTTGAACTTCCCCAAATGACCTTGGGTCAAGGTCATGACATACCCTTGGGTCATGGGCAATCTTTGTGTGAAATGAGAACCTACCAAGTTTATCCATAAAAAAGATATGGACCAGAAAGAATTATGAACTTTTTCTTCCAGTGACCTTGAACTTCCCCAAATGACCTTGGGTCAAGGTCACGACACACCCTTGGGTCATGGGCAATCTTTGTTTGAAATGAGAACCTACCAAGATTATCCATAAGAAAGATGTGGACTGTACACGAATTATGAACTTTTTCTTCCATTGACCTTGAACTTCCCCGAATGACCTTGGGTCAAGGTCATGACACACCCTTGGGTCATGGGCAATCTTTGTGCGAAATGAGAACCTACCAAGTTTATCCATAAGAAAGATATGGACCGGACACGAATTATGAACTTTTTCTTCCAATGACCTTGAACTTCCCCGAATGACCTTGGGTCAAGGTCATGACACACCCTTGGGTCATGGGCAATCTTTGAGTGAAATGAGAACCTACCAAGTTTATCCATAAAAAAGATATGGACCGGACAAGAATTATGAATTTTTTTCTTCCAGTGACCTTGAACTTCCCCGAATGACCTTGGGTCAAGGTCATGACACACCCTTGGGTCATGGGCAATCTTTGTGTGAAATGAGAACCTACCAAGTTTATCCATAAGAAAGATATGGACCGGACACGAATTATGAACTTTTTCTTCCAGTGACCTTGAACTTCCCCGAATGACCTTGGGTCAAGGTCATGACACACCCTTAGGTCATGGGCAATCTTTGTGTGGAGTAGTAGATTCTAATGTCCCTCCGTAAGAAAGATATGGACCGGACACATTTGCACAGACAGACGGACAGACAGACAGGCGGACAGCTAGACAGATGGACAAGGTGATTCCTATATACCCCCCAAACTTTGTTTGCGGGGGGTATAATCAATAAAAAGCTGATTTTGTGTACATATCTACACCTGATAAAGTGGTGAATATATACTACATGTGTAGTAAGGTAACAATGTCTTTCAGTTCCCCATTGCAGAGGTTCATTTGGAAGATGGGAGGGATGTAAAGTCCTTATGTCTGAGACCTAGGAGCCAGGATTCTGTGAAATCTACACAGTCTTTGGTTCTTTCTGAAACAGAATCTTTTTGGTCCAAAATAGTGGATTCCAACCTGCATAAAAAAGTACCTGGTCTCACTGATTATTCTGACAGTAAATGATACAGTATGCACATTAATGAAAGATATGTTTTATGCCATTTGACAGATTTATCATGTGATCACATGTAAAAGGAAATGGTAAAGAGCATCTTGCACACAATAAAAATACGTAGACTAGAATCTCTTTTAAGAGAACCATCTTATCTCTCCCCCTCCCCCCATCAAAAAAAAAAAATCATGGTATAAGTTTTAATGCATGTTTGAGAATGGACTTACTTTTGTATGATTTCCCAGGCCTTGTTTACAGGGAATTCCCCCCGTCTAATTGTCATCAATGTTTCTCTGTCGGGAGTTCTATCATCCCTGTACACGTGAAGGTCATCTCCAACAACTATGTCCCTGTAATATGTATAACTTATGTATTATCATGTGTAATGAGGGACTTGAAGAGACTAATAGAAACTTCAAAGTCCCAAATGTTCTACCTTGCATTCTGTAGTAGGCGAACGATGACATACACCAATTTACACATCTTGGGTGGCAGTACGGTTTCTTCGGGATGTTCGTTACACCATTTCCTTAGCTGTGTGGTGCCTTTGCTACCTTGAGCGTCTCTGAGATATTTATTTAGAGTTTCCCTATTCAAAGCAAGATGGTTAATAAAATTTGCCATTAATATAATACTTGTCTCACCTCTCACCAATTCCCTTGAATTTACTGGGTAAGTAAAAAATTCATCCAAAGGTATGCAAATTACAATTACATATATATCAAATGTTTGTCATAACATTTCTTTATGTGATTTTGTTAAATGCATATATTTTGTGCACTGTTAGTTTTGAGAGAATTTTGACAATACATTGCACAAATTAATCAAAAGAACTGTTTACTTGCATAGTTCTGAGATCACAGTTTTTTTTATAGTAGTTTACCTATTGAGAAAGTGCCTCCTTCCTTCCTTTAACTCCTGCCATTCTGTAGAGGTCATGACCATGGAATCGTCCTGTAGGAACAACGTCTCCACACATCTAGCATCTCCGTTCAGTAGCAGCTCACTGAACCGGAACACTTCATGGATCGTGTAGTCACATCGCTGGTTCTCTCTGTTCTGATGAAAGCATTTAAAAAAACAAGTTTAAATTATTGGGTAGTAGAAAAGGAGAAATGCACAAAGGAAATATAGGGCTGCACTGGGAATCGAACCGGGGACCCCTGCATTACAAGTCAGATGCTCTACCATTGAGCTATCCATGCCAATATCCATAGTCCATACAGCCTGAACTGCTACATTCAATGAAAATCTTGTCATAATATGATGGAAAATGCACTACATTGTAACATGTATGTTTTGTGTTGCTCATCTATATTTTTAGTCATTCAGTGCATAAAATATACTGGTCTCAAATTCAAAATTTGAAATTCTCTGGTGGTATTGGTGGAATCTAAAAAGAATTGCAAAGAGTTTCTTGCTTTTTATAAACACTAATTGTTGCTTTTTTTTTGCAAACTTTGAGTATTCCCTAGGTTTTACCTTGATTGTCTGTTTTGGTGGATGAAACCCGAGAACATCCCTGGTCTTTGCTTGGTAAACAATAAACATATCTGTGTCACTTTCTGGTGTGCTCAGGTTGTACCTTTAATATTTAATGTGGGAGAGTTGATAGACTGTTAGAGTAAAAAACAAATATGTATTGTTTGAAAACTTGAAAGTCATAAAATTCTACACAGAAATTAATATGTATATGTACATTTCAATACGTAAGAACATCTAGTTCGAAGTTTGTGTATGCTATAAAATTTTGTCATAAAAGCATATTTGTGATCATACTGAAGTAGTCTTCATTTTCCAAGAAAAACAATTTTTAGAGTTAAATTTAAAAAAAAAATTCTATGTTATCAAGCAAATCTGAAAATCTCAAAGAAACATACACTTTAGATTGAACTGAATATTTATTATTCTTTGGATCATGATATTATGCATATCTTCCACATATATAATCTTAAACCAAGTAGATTGAATAATAAAACATATGTAGAACCTTTGGCTGCCAAAAGGACAAGCCAGGATAACTTTTCCCAGGTCTCTCTCCACTTTGTTTACAATAGTTCTCCAGGTCTCCTCACTAGAAACCTCCTCTGAATTGTAAAACGGGGAAGGTATACGTTCTAGTTCTCTCTGTAACTTTTCTTCCCGTTTCTCCTTGAGTTCTCCATAAAATGAATCAATCAGGGAACACAACTTTGATCCTACTTCTTGAGGAATTTCTTGCCAATTTCTACTCTGATTCAGTGGTGCATTGTCTACGAAGATATCCTCAGTTAGTTTAGATGATAAACATTGTTCTCCAAAGTGATCTGTGAAGTGGGTCTTCCATTTGACTTTGAAGTAGTGCCATTCACTGTTAATAAGGTTATCAGATGTTTCAGTTTGTTCAGAAAATTCTTTACTCTCTTGAGTATAACCATTTTTTATCTCCTGACCTGCTTTCTCGTCATTCTGATTCTTAGGTGGCGTCAACATCTCGGCATATCCATGCCAGCCATGACAATTGTTTACACTGTATATGAAAATCACCTTCCCATTTTTCAGAGCCTCAGAGAGTATTTGACGAGGGTGAGGTGGAGAAACCCTATCTCTACATGCCCACTTCTCTGAAGTAATGCAGGTTTTCAGTGAAGCGAAGTTTGCACACTTCACAATAAAATACCGAACAGTTGTAGCTTCAGTCATTACTTATTCCTTTAATCATGAAAAATGTCTAGTATGATTCTGTTTTAGCTGGCATCAATATATTCCTTCAATATACTGTTCAGAATCGTAAAGAGCATTCAGGCAATTGCATCACCATTTGAAATCGTTTTAAGTCTCTAAATACCTGATTAAATCACATGTGACGATTTTCTGAGATTAGCGTGGTTCAAATATGTATTCATTTGCCTCCTTGAATTTATTTTAGCACTGAAATTAGGTTCTTTTTCTCTTTATATTCCCATAAAACAAATACTTTCATGCAATCATGGTTTGTTTACCGTTACGCCCACTACCGGAACTTTAATTTGCACACTAAAAAAAAAATGGACACGCCGGAATTCTCACATCCGGATATGGATCTTTCTGCAAAAATGATACTCAGCACATTTATTGACGATTTTTTGAGTTAATATTTATTTTTATTTCTGAGTTAATGTCTTCTTTTTTTTTTTACCTCCTAGCTATTGGCTATCTTTCTTGGTTTTAATCAGTGTCAACATACCCTAGTATTTATAAGCAATGAATACACATTTTCTGATCATTATTATGAATATATCTTTCATCAGCTCTAAAGCATACATTTCCACCTTTAATGTAATTCAGATTTTTTTTCCTCCTTATGGCTTCAAAGTTTATATGTTTATTTCTAGTTATATAAATAAGAATTAATTTTCGAAATTAAACTGCCTGATAAATTGATTTTTTTGAGTTGATGATCAAAAACAGGCCATCTGCCAAAGCTATATGATGATTTTTTTTTTTAATTAACACACTCTATGAGATGCTCTATTCTTTTGAAAATGTGCTCTCCTTTCCTATCCCAAATCAAATTCCATGGAACAAAAAAGACATTTTTAACAATGACTTTAAGCTTTTATTTAAAAAATCAAAATAATAACTGTAAATCAGAAGGAAATGTATTGCACATTAAAAGCACTATCAAACAGTGTTAATTGTTTCATGTCTGTGCCTCTCCATTGGTCAGAACCAACAAACAAAAGTTCTTATGTTCTATCACATAAACAACAATCTCAACTAAAACCCTCATTTGGAAATCTCAGTTCCATCACAGATTTTGAAACTCAGGCCAAGCTTAACAAATTCTTTGTTTGCAGTTGCCGACCTATGATTTATAGAGTGTGTTGGTAGGTAGGAATGATTTTTTTAAAGTAGATTTTTATTTATCAAGTTTTTGTTGGATTATACAAATCAGCAATTTTCACAGGGTTACATGTGTTTTATGTAAATAAACATGTTAAAGCTCTACTTATTTTATGCCACTTATACACAGAAACAAAAATTTATATTAAAAAAATAGAAAATTCAACAAGTTTCAACATTCTAAAAATTTGAAACTTTCAAAAGAAAAATTTTTCTCAAATAACAGCTGATAAAAAGTTTGAGTCAGGTGCATTAATGGTTCGGTAGGCAACTGCAAACAAACTATTTTTTATGTTAGGCCTCAGTCTCCATTAGGGGTTTTGAAGAAGACGTCCTTCAGTTTCTGCATGCGGTTTTCCAGCTGACTGGGGGAGAGCGCCGCGTGGCTCCTGTGGTGGAGCTTGATTAACTCAGTGTACTCCTGGAATGTATACTGACTTCCCTTCTCTGCTATCATGGTAATTACATCCTACAACAGGAAAAATAAAAATCACTCATGCTGGAAAGTGATAATTACTTTTTTGTTTACTAAAAAGGTTCTCTTTACATAACACACATCTTTTGGTAAACTGTTGAGAAATACAAATTATTCTTTTTCCATTTTTTTTTTTTTAAAGTGTGATGTTTAACATTGGAATCCCCTTCAGGACCCCCATACACCTGGATTAATGCAGAGTTTCCAGTACTTACATCTGGATTTATATACAGTAATTCATAGTACTGTCTAGATCAGTACTTACATCTGGATTTATATACAGTAATTCATAGTACTGTCTAGGTCAATTTTCAAGTACATGTACTTACATCTGGATTTATATACAACAATTCATAGTACCATGTGGGTCAGGTTTCCAGTACTTACATCTGGATTTATATACAGTAATTCATAGTACTGTCTAGATCAGTACTTACATCTGGATTTATATACAGTAATTCATAGTACTGTCTAGGTCAATTTTCAAGTACATGTACTTACATCTGGATTTATATACAACAATTCATAGTACCGTGTGGGTCAGGTTTCCAGTACTTACATCTGGATTTATATACAGTAATTCATAGTACTGTCTAGATCAGTACTTACATCTGGATTTATATACAGTAATTCTAGATCAGTACTTACATCAGGATTTATATACAGTAATTCATAGTACTGTAGGTCAGGTTTCCAGTACTTACATCAGGATTTATATACAGTAATTCATAGTACTGTCTAGGTCAGGTTTCCAGTACTTACATATGGATTTATATACAGTAATTCATAGTACCGTGTAGGTCAGGTTTCCAGTACTTACATATGGATTTATATACAGTAATTCATAGTACCCTGTAGGTCAGGTTTCCAGTACTTACATCTGGATTTATATACAGTAATTCATAATACTTACATCAGGATTTATATACAGTAATTCATAAACTTACATCAGGATTTATATACAGTAATTCATAGTACTGTCTAGGTCAATTTTCAAGTACATGTACTTACATCTGGATTTATATACAACAATTCATAGTACCGTGTGGGTCAGGTTTCCAGTACTTACATCGGGATTTATATACAGTAATTCATAGTACTGTCTAGATCAGTACTTACATCTGGATTTATATACAGTAATTCATAGTACTGTCTAGATCAGTACTTACATCAGGATTTATATAAAGTAATTCATAGTACCCTGTAGGTCAGGTTTCCAGTACTTACATCAGGATTTATATACAGTAATTCATAGTACTGTCTAGGTCAGGTTTCCAGTTCTTACATATGGATTTATATACAGTAATTCATAGTACCGTGTAGGTCAGGTTTCCAGTACTTACATATGGATTTATATACAGTAATTCATAGTACCCTGTAGGTCAGGTTTCCAGTACTTACATCTGGATTTATATACAGTAATTCATAATACTTACATCAGGATTTATATACAGTAATTCATAACACTTACATCAGGATTTATATACAGTAATTCATAGTACTGTCTAGGTCAATTTTCAAGTACATGTACTTACATCTGGATTTATATACAACAATTCATAGTACCGTGTGGGTCAGGTTTCCAGTACTTACATCTGGATTTATATACAGTAATTCATAGTACTGTCTAGATCAGTACTTACATCTGGATTTATATACAGTAATTCATAGTACTGTCTAGATCAGTACTTACATCAGGATTTATATAAAGTAATTCATAGTACCCTGTAGGTCAGGTTTCCAGTACTTACATCAGGATTTATATACAGTAATTCATAGTACTGTCTAGGTCAGGTTTCCAGTACTTACATCTGGATTTATATACAGTAATTCATAGTACTGTCTAGGTCAGGTTTCCAGTACTTACATCAGGATTTATATACAGTAATTCATAGTACTGTCTAGGTCAGGATTCCAGTACTTACATCAGGATTTATATACAGTAATTCACAGTACTTACATCAGGATTTATATACAGTAATTCATAGTACTGTCTGGGTCAGGTTTACAGTACTTACATCAGGATTTATATACAGTAATTCATAGTACTGTCTAGCATGATCCAGGTCTGGCTCTCTAGACATGGTGATGTTGGTCAAGTTCTGCTGTATGGCAAACAGATTACGACACCTACGGAAAAAACAACAGCTAGCTATTACACATATAAAATACATATTAAAGATTTCATTTTGATACATCTGTTTTCTATATCAATAACACCAATTCATTTTTAAAACAGTTTTTGTACTTTTTACAAAAGACAGGGTACTTACATCTTTTTAATGCCATTTTCATTGATTTTCTTCATATACTGGATACTATTCATAAGTATAGATGCCACTAAAAATCCTAGACTTTCAAATATGTATCTGAAAATGTAAAAACAGGTCAAAATACAAACAATATTTTATCAAAGATGTTTTAACTTGAATTTCATGATACTGCCTAAATATGCTTTCATTGATTTGATCAACATTGTCTGATAAATCATTTTATTTTTAACAAATACAAGAGTTTTTTTGATACTTGAATTTCTTTGGCTGTAGACTCTGTTGTAGGACTTCCTCCATGCTACTTAAATCTTTGTTCAGTTTCAGCACATTAGAATCTGGGTCAAGGTCATCTATAGGTCCAGCATAGTTGGACTAAAAAAGATCAAACTGATGTGTAATACATTTTTCATGATAATGATGACTAATTATAAACATTTCGCCCAATACAAAGCATTTCAATACTGGAATAAAATTTACCTGAATGAACTTCTGGATTCAATAATCAACCCACATTGCACTTAGTGATGATTTAAACTAAATTTAAGTTGAGTTATCCACAGTGAATATAATATTAATTAAATTAAAGCTTTCTTTGACATAACAAACAATTTGAAGCCCTTTTCTGTCAGACTTTGAAATGTGGAGTTTCAATAAAACAGTTTACAAACAGTGAAGACGTACCTGCTTAGCGACTGGTAACAGGAAGTAGAAACAGTGAACTCTGACCTCCAAGTGAAGAAGCAGAAGACAAATCTCAGCCAAGTCCTGGAAATCCTTCACCAGATTTCTCAGCGAACTAAATTTAGGGAGTAAAATTTAAAATTGGTAGGTTGCAGAGCCATTTAAAACCTACCCCAAAATGATTTTTATCTGTCTCTGTTTACACGTATCATTTAATTTCAAACATTATACTTTATTTCACTAGTATTCTAAATTTTCAAAACAGAGAATTTTCACAGTTGTATACACAATCCACACAAATTCATTTTTACCTTAGGGTCTTTTCAGATACAGGTGGGTATTCCTAGAAAAGAATATAATTTCTTATTTCACTCATGCATTTCCCCTCACAGTTTATCTCCGTCTGAGACATTATGAAACATCTGTTTTTATTAATGTTGCAAATGTTTTGCATTTGAACAAGTAAACAGTGAAGCTCTGAAAATTGGACTTACAGCTGCGGCAGTTTCTGCTGGGGTTGTATTAGTTCTGGCACACAGACGATTGGAGAAATCCTTCATTCTGTTTGAAAACCACTCCTATCAAAATCATGAAAAGAAAATACATTAATATGGTAAAAATATCTTCATGCTGTCAATTAATTTTG